TCCACTTAGTATTTGGGACTGGGGCCACCCCTCCCACCCCAACCTCAGCATGTTTTTACAGCATGTCACTCTTGCATACTGTGAGTGTATGGAATAACTTGCCTTCTAGATGAATCAAGAGGTTTCTAGGCCCAGAGGACCTCAATGTTTACTAGTGTCACAAGGTGTGTGCCACAGGATGGAGGTAGAGGGGGGAAAGAAAAAGGAAAGGAAGAGGGGAAATGGAGGGTAGGGAAGATGGACAGAAGAAACAGAAGTGCCTATGGGGTGTTGAGGCAAGGTGTTTCTGGTCTACCTGTGCTCCTGCTTGGTTATCACTGCCCCAAAGACCTCACTCCTATTTGTCCACATCTCTGCTAATGTCCAAGTTACCATCTTGAAATTCCTCTGCAGAAAGGCTGTAAGAAAGGCACAGTGCACATCTCCAACTGGATCAACAATTGTTTGCATCTCACCTTTGAGTCTCTCTCTGTCTGCATGCAAATATGCCTCCATGTGGATCTAACCCAACCAATGCCTGCAAGTTGATTTGCATGTCCATTTTTACGAGCCTTTTGAAAACAGACTGCTCATACCATGACACTTCACCCTGACACGATTAAGCACACTTTTCCTAAGAATAAGGCCATGGTCATCCAATTTTCGTGTTAATATTTCCCCAGTTGACCTCAGCATTTTTCAAATACCTGTTCTTTCGTTCAAGCCAATATCTAAACAAGTCCATGCATCACATTTGCTTATGCATCTTTTAATCTAGAGTAGTTCCCATGGTTTTTCCTTCTTGTGACATTTATAATAAGACAGAGACCCCTTGTGTTAGAATCTCACATTGGGAATCATTAATCACGGGGTCATTGTCTTTCACTTTATACCCTGAATGGCTCATGAAATGGAAGGTGGATTAACCAAACCTGAAACCCACTGCCATAAAGTCAATTCTGACCCCAAATGACCTTATAGAACAGAATAGAACTGCTTGTTTGGGACACTGAGAGAGTAAGCCTTGACAGAGCGGAGAGTCTCAGCTTTCTCATCTTTTAGCGCCTTGATGCTTAACCCACTGTGCCATCAGGGTTCAATTGATTCGATGCAGGTTAAATGCTTCATGGCCAGTACTGGGTGTTTTATGGAGAATCTCATTAGAAGAACATAATGTTGACTTGTCCGACTCTCAGAAATACCTGTGTTTGATCATTTGCCTGAGGTGGTCGCTGTCAAAGCCCTCCTTTCAAAAAGATAACTATTTTCCTTGTGCAGTTTGCATCAAACTTGTGAGGCCCCACTTTATCTCCTGTGAGTAGCCTACTCCCCAGGTACTTTTCGTTCCGTGCTAGGAGCCATGAATGATCCTCGCTTGAAACAGTTGTTTGTCTATTGAACAACTGGCAATGTTCTGATCTTAATAGTCAACATTCCTCTATAAAGGAAAAACCTCATATGCTTCCCTAATATCAGTCTAGTGTGTTTTTTTTTAAACTCAAGGTATTATCATCATTGATCATAATTGATCTTTTGGTGCTCCAATTGGACATGAATCCATTATTACTATTAGGATATTTTGCTTTTTGACACAGTATTTTGGGTTCAGTTATACATTTCCTACCCCAAACCTATAATTATTCATTTCCCCAGGAGCTCCGGGTTGCTTATGGTAGAACTACTCCTCAGAAGCTGGAATCTAAGTGGTGGATTGTTTTGTTTTGTAATGTGGCATTTGATCAGATCAGGGGCTGGCAATTAAGCTAGGAGAGTCAGATATTCAGAAAGCTCAGTTCCTGCTAGAGCATTGCTTAATGGCCTCTCCCTAAATATTTCAGGACGGAATGCCTTGCATGTGGATGTTGATGTGTCCTCTGGCTTTATTTACTGGTGTGATTTCAACAGCTCTGTGCAATCTCAGAATGTGATCCGAAGAGTTAAACCAGATGGGTCCAGCTTTACAGACATTGTTACAGATGGCATAGGAATAAACGGAGTCCGGGGCATTGCTGTGGATTGGGTAGCAGGTAGGTATGCCACAGATCTGTTTCTCTCCTCCTGTCCCCCAACCCCCGCAATGATGGAAGTAATTTAAGATGTATCAAACTGTCTTTTTTAGGATAAGCTTTATGTATATTAGTAATAAGGTGTCATGGCCATATTTTCCTCTTTTATCACCATAATTGGAATTGTAGGCAAAGATGCATCTAATTTCTGAATTTAAAAAAGCACTGCCAGTGAGTTTATTCCGATGCATCATGACCATCCTTGACTGGATCAGAAAGCCTCATCTTATTCCTGCAGAGCAACTGGTGGATTTGAACCACTGACTGCAGTTAGCAGACTTGCGCCTAACCCATGTCACCACTGAGGCCTTTAATTTCTGAATTAGAAGTGTCTAAATATTTCAAAACCTCATTGCCATGGAGTCCATGCTGACTCACAGCGACCCCGTTTGGGTGTCCGAGACTGTAGCTGCATCAGGGGAGTAGAAACCTCAGTGTTGCTCCTGCCGAGCTGCTGGTGGTTTCCAACTGCCGACCCTGCGGATCACAGCCCAACTCGTAGCCACCAGGTCTCCTTACGTATTTCAAAGGCATATGAAAACTTAGTAAAAACCATAAAGAGTGTCTATTTACCTTATAGCATTTTTAGCTGCCAAATTAGCGATTACTTATTCTTGTTCACTTATAAAAATCTTTCTGATCATTAGGTACTTTTCAATTACCACTTGGAAACAAAGATATTATCATTTTTTCAATATAATTACCTGATTAAATAGATGTCATTGTGAGAGATAATGCTTATAAGTACATATCACTTAGAAACGTTAACATGTATTATGAAAATGTGAATATTATGATACCAGAAACCTAACCCACTGCCATCAAGTCAGTTCCAACTTATAGCAATTACATTAGACAAAGTAGAACTGCTTTTTAGGTTTCTAAGACTATAGATCTTTATGGCAGGCGGCCTCACCTTTGGTTAGGGTTAGCAGCCCAATTTTTAACTCACTTTGCTACCAGGGCCTCATAGGTACCACAATCATTTGTGGCAAATGGTAAATATCATAGTGTGGTTAGGGTTTCTAAATCCTATTTCTGATCACAAATGTCCTTCATTATTTCTGAAGGTTGTGTAAAGCAATCTGATGCTTCTAAGTCAAATCAAGTTCACTGCCTGCTTTCACAAATAAAGCTTTGTCAGAACACGGCAATGCCCATTTGTATATGTATAATCTATGACTGCCTTAATGTAGCAATGCAGACTTGTGATAGAAATCATAAGACTTACAAGACCTAGAATATTTACCATCTAGGCCCTTACAGATTGCCACCCCTCGATTGGCATGTGTGTCATTAGGAGAAGGCGATGAAAAAGAGAATGGATCAGTGACATCCCATATCAAGGTTATTCCTTAGTGCAAGGTTGATTCAAACACAGGAACAAAGTTATTTATAGGCCTCCAAATCTACACCAGCAATGCAGCGTTAGCCTTTGAACTATATGGCACCAGTTTGGGCATCACACTGTATTCGTACAAGGATATGTACCCTGTGGTCTAGTCTTCCTATAGCATTTACGTTGTGTTGTAAGATCCAAGTGGGACTGGGCTCCACTCTTGCCGGTTGAGGAGGTCCATGGAATGAAAGCACGGACACTCCCGAGAACGCAGAGACCTGTGTTCATCGTACACACGAAAAGCCCGTGATGAACACTAGCCCCCGAGATACTGCTGGTGGTCTCTCGTTGGCTCCTGTCATCGTGCTGGAGAGAAGGTATGCTGTGATCAAAGAGACAAAGAGTCGATGTAGATTCCTATGCTCAATATGAGTCCAAGCACAAGAGGGGAGGACATTCTAGAAGATACCACTTTCAGTAGAAAGTGGCCTCTGACATGTGCTGGGAATTCTAATCCGTGGAAGAAGCAGAAGCTTGCCACCATCACTCAAAAGAGGCTCTTCAGCTTGAAAGAGTTAATATCATTTTTCCAATTCAGAATGGAGGTTTTTATTTATAATCGTGCAAAAGACAGCACATACTAACGCCAGTGTCTTCAATGTTACTGTTGTGAATCTCCTTTTGTCTTCTTGATTTTCGTGCATCCTCATGCTTTTTTTTTTTCCTGCAGGAAATCTATATTTTACCAATGCTTTTGGGTTCGACACACTGGTGGAAGTTCTGAGGATCAATACCACTCACCGCCGTATTCTCCTTAAAACCTCAGTGGATATGCCCAGGGATATTGTTGTAGACCCCAAGAACAGATTCCTCTTCTGGGCTGACTATGGGCAGAGCCCGAAGATTGAACGTGCTTATCTCGACTGTACCAATCGAACAGTGCTTGTATCAGAGGGCATTGTCACACCGCGGGGCTTGGCCGTAGACTACGGCAACACCTACATTTACTGGGTTGACGATTCTTTAGATGTGATCTCAAGGACCCATATTATCAGTGGGGAATCAGAAGTGATTCGCGTTGGCAGTCGTTACCCAACTCCTTATGGTATCACTGTGTTTGGGAACTCCATCATCTGGGTAGACAGGAATTTAAAAAAAATCCTCCAAGCTAGTAAAGAACCAGGGAACACAGAGCCACCAACTGTGATAAGGGACAATCTCTTTTGGTTAAGAGATGTGGCCATGTTTGACCAGCAGGTCCAGCCCCGGTTGCCGGCAGAGGTCAATCACAACCCTTGCATGGAAAATAATGGGGGGTGCTCTCACCTCTGCTTCGCTCTGCCTGGATTACAGGCCCCCAAATGTGCCTGTTCTTTTGGGACTTTGGAAACGGATGGGAAGAATTGTGCCATTTCAACAGACAATTTTCTTATCTTTGCTTTGGAAAATTCATTAAGAAGCTTATACTTGGACCCTGAAAACCATAGCCCACCTTTCCGTGCCATAGAAGTAGACAGAACTGCCGTGACTCTGGACTATGACAGCCTGAATAATCGAATCTACTTCACACAAAACACAGCCACGGGAAGTGGCCAGATTTCCTATGTCAGCCTGTACTCAAAGGATGCTTCTTCAACAGTCATAGTCTCAGGTACGTGTTCTCCAAATGCAGCTAATTTTGACCTCATTGGGCCGGTGCACATGGAGGAGCCCGGTTGTTCTGAAATGCCTATTGAGACTCTAATGCCTCTGTGTGTGTTTGTGTTTCCTGCTGTGCATCCAGATATGGATACTACTGAGGGCATTGCCTTTGACTGGATCAATAACAGAATTTATTATACCGACTACATCAACCAGACAATTAGCTCCATGGCTGTTGATGGGTCTAACCGCACCGTGGTAGCCCGAGCTTTAAGACCAAGGGCCATTGTCTTAGACCCTTGCCGAGGGTATGTCTTTATCTTCCGTCTCTGCACACTGGGGAGGGTGGAGTCTGAAATTATTTATGCTCATAGAGAACCGACATTTACTGAGCTTGTAACACTGGCTACCGTTTCAATAGTGAAAGAACATTAGAGGGAGTTCACTTGGGTCAGAGGGTACAGTGCCTGTCTCCCTTTGATGCTAGACAGGCTAGCAGTCTACCAGAGAATGAGTGCTCTGACTCAGTCAGTCCTGGTTGGACAAGGTATATTTGGGAATGGAATAGGATTTCTTTGGCAACATTGGGGGCAATTTGTAATAAAAGGATGTTGCTGTTTTAAAAATAAAAGGAACATAAAAATAAAAGGGTGTGTTGGTCTGGGTAGGCTAGAGAAACAAATTCATAGACACTCACATGTGTATAAGAAAGAGCTTTATATATAAGAGCAATTGAATATTGAGAAAACATCCTAGCCCAGTCCAGATCAGGTCCCTAAGCCCGATATTAGCCCATATGTCTGATACCAATCTATAAGTCCTCCTCAGACTCTCAAAACACATGCAGTGATGTCAAATGCAAGATCACAGGCCAGTGGGTGGAAAGTCATGTGGATCTAGCCTCCAGGTCCAGGGCTCTTGCTGCCGTCAGCATAGCCCCATGTGTCTTGCCAGCTACAATGTCTCCCAGGGAGTGAGTAGAGAGAATACAGGAGTTCCCAGAATCCTCAGGAGAAGGCCATGCCCACACAGAGGCCTCATTGGCTATGACCTGATTGACAGGTTAGACTCAGCTCCTTCACTCTTAATCCTTTCAAATTGACAAACCATGATATAACTACCACATGCAGTTCTTGGTGTCGTGACCATTATGACTTTTTAATTTTTTTTGGATAACTAGGTATATGTACTGGACTGAATGGAGTTTCGCTCCCCAAATTGAGCGAGCGACACTGGGAGGAAACTTTCGGGTACCCATTGTGAACAGCAGCGTGGTCTGGCCCAATGGGTTGACCCTGGACTACGAGGAGGAGCTTCTCTACTGGGCAGATGCCAGTCTGTATGTCATTGGGTACCGGATGGTGCTGATGGAGAGGGCTGGGTGCTGTGCCAAATAGAATGTCTAGGATGTAGTGTTACCCTTTCAGAAAAGACTCTAACTTGGAAAACAGTCTTTTGAAAGCTCTTCTAAGGTCATGAGATTGAATAGTTATGATGTTGAAGATACCTAAAGAGGCCTTACTTGATAAGAAATTCAAGAGTAATTTCAAATATGATTAAATCATTCAATTTATAGCTCCCCCCCCACTCTGAAACATAAATGATTTTAAATGGACAGCAGTCTGATGTGGGTTTCTTACTTAGTCTTTTGTAAATGCTTTGCTTCACCTTTGGCTTTTGGTCAGCTTCTCAGACGGACCCTCTACTTAACAACTGTTCAACAAGATTCGTGTTATTTCATTCACTTTTGTTTGCCTCCGTTTTATACGTTCTCCCAGCCACCTAATGCAATCACTTATTTAGTAGATGGGTGCCTATAATGTCAGGAGGTGCTCTTGACCATTTTCCTTATCTTGGTCTTCTAACTCTGAGCAGCTAATTATCTAACTGGTACTCATTTTCTCTTTTGGAAATGTGGCGTTCAGATCATCCTATGTAAACTCCTCAAGGTATTCAGTTATTAAACGAGGCATCAAAATAGTCAAAACAGCAATTAGGGAGTGGGAACTCACTAATCACAGACATTGAGTTAATTCTGATTCCCAGGGACCCTAAAGGACAGGGTAGAACTGCACCTGTGGGTTTCCAAGACTGTAATTCTGTACGGGAGTAGCCTCATCATTGCCCCTCAGAGCAGCTGATGGTTTCACACTGCTAACCTTGCGGTCAGCCGCCCAGTGGGTGACCCACTATGTCACCCTGGCTCTAGAGAGTGGGAAGGAAAAAATAATTCACTTTTTATTGAATATCTAGTGTGCCTTAAACAGTGAGTTCATTGTTTCTACGTGAATTATGTAATAATTTCCTTCTGTTTCTAATGTCAACCTGGCCTTTCCTGAAGGATTAGTTAGTGTTAGGTTATATTAATATTTGGAAAGCTAGTAGTTTATATGTGTCATGGGTTGATACGCAATAACCTCCTATCACCAGAAAAGAAAGAAAAGCCCCAAACACTTGTAAACAATCAGCTCACCTTGGTGTGTGTGTGGGGGGGTGGTGTTGTGTACACTATAGACATTGGGAAACGTTTTCTTGACTTCAGCTGGATTTCCTTCCTTATCTTGATTCTAGGCAGCGGATTGAACGCAGTTCTCTGACGGGGACGGATCGCGAAATTGTTGTCAGCACCACCCTACATCCCTATTCTTTGACCCTCTACGGCCAGTATATTTACTGGACTGACTGGTCCACCAAGTCCATTTACCGAGCCAACAAATATGATGGGTCAGGTCAGATTGTAATGACCGCCAACCTGCCCACTCGGCCCATGGGCATTCACATTTCTGGGCGCAGCCAGCAGCAGCAGTGTAGCAACCTTTGCAGTCAGTTTAATGGGGGCTGCAGCCACATCTGTGCACCAGGTGAGTCATTGTCGTGCGAAGACAGAAATGAGCATGGGACACAATGAAGAAGAAGATGGTGATGATGATGATGATGGTGTCGTGGTAGAGAAGATGGAAGGAATAGTTCAGTGGGACTTAAGTTGACCACCAACCAGCCCCTCAGCTTTCTTAAGATGCACCTATTCCAGTAGCAGGGACAGTGGTGAGGATGTGGTGGGACCACGCAGTGTTTCGTTGGGTTTTGTGTAGGGTTGCTATGGGTCGCAACTGAGTCATTGGTGCCAAACAACAGTCTATGGAGCCCTGGTGGTACCGCGGGTTACAAGTTGTGCTGCTAACCACGAGGCCAGCAATTTGCTGCCACTCCTGTGTAAAGATTTACAGCCTCAGGAACCCCAAGGGGGCAGTTCTACTCTGACGTTGGGGGTCGCTGTGAGTAGGATTCAAAGCCTGGCAGTGAGTTATCCCAGTAGCATATGCTGGCACCTGGTGGGGACTAGTATAACTATGAGTTTAAAGAAATGGGCCTCATCCCTCCAGTCCTATCATGAGTCTTCTTGGGCCATATGCAGTCCGCATAATCACGTCAAAGCCAATAGTACCTCAACAGAAATATCCCCCTTGATTTCAGCATGCATTTCATTACTGGAGACATGTGCCATCAATAAAAAAATCCAAAGCAGAAAATAATTTGGTCCTGAAAAGGGTAGGGGAAGAAAGCCCACAGTCTCCTTGATTTCAGGATAATCAGTGTCTTCCAATAAGGGGGTTTGGGTTTCTAACGAGAGGAAGATGCTGTCAGGCTTTTTACAGGGAACCCTCTCGTCAATATTTCTGGTGAAAAGACACTTAGCTAAATACGAGAGGGCTTCACAACGAAAAGGTAGGAGAACTTTCCCATAAAGCCATTCAAGAGTTTCCGTGTATTCCGGGACCCGGATGACGGGTTTCACGGTGTGTCACCATTTTTGTTTTCCTCCCCAAATGGTTTCCCGCCCTCCTTCCCACAGACTCACTGCCCTTCAGCTTTCCACCGGTCTTTAAAATGGCTCTTGTCAGTCTGATCTCCTAGATGCGTTCAGCACAGTGCTACAGACAAAACATTCCTACTAATTGAGCTGTTCCTTGGTAAAGTTTCGTGTCAGGATTTAAAGTCCCTTCGCGCTTAGTGATTCCAGGGACTCTGGATCCCTTCAGAATCTAGCTGTTGGATACACTGAGTACTGGTTTCGGGGCAGCATCCGGGTCTGTGTCTCATAGTGAAGGCAGGCGGTGGTGGTAGTTTGTGGAATCACTTAGCCCCAGGGTCCACAGGGGACACTGTAACATCTCTCTGTGATAGAGGTGGGAAGCAAGATGATGGTGTGAGCTGCTGCCGTTGTTTGGAGCGTCAGTAAGGGTTATTGTGGGGGGAGGTCAGATGCGCAGGCATTCCCTCCACTGAAGGCAACCAGTTGCCAGGCTGCTCTCTCATCCCACCACAGGGGTGGGCCTGCTCCCTGCCTCTGGGGACAATGGACAGGCTCCTGTAGGAGGCGTTTTCACCCAACTGATAATGTTCCTATGGAGACCCAGAGACCACCCCCTAGACCACCCTCTCATTACTATGTAACCTATAGTGCAGCTCCTCCCTGTGATGTATGTCTCTACCTGTAATTAGTGGGCTGGCATGCCCCCAAAAGGTATATAGGTGTAAGTCAGCAATATAGATGTCTCTCTGACTCTGGGCTCCTTGCTGCTCACTCCCTGCTCACTCCTCTCTCGTTCCTTTCCTTCCTTCCCTTCCCCCTCTTTCCACGTGGACCACCAAGCTGGGCTGAGGTGAGCAATGGTACCATGTAACATGCCTGACTGTATTATTGTATTATCTCTCATGCTCATGATGACTTTAATATAATGCTTATATATCTCAACTGTACAATTGTACTTACTGAATCCGAGTAGTAGTAATAGGAGTATTAGCAGTGGGGGCTGGCCCCCCACCTCCCTCAGCGTCATTTTTTAAATTTAATACTACAGGTTATCTTGAATGGTTCCACTCAGGAGGTCAGTTTTACAGGTTGAATTGTTTCTGGAGATACTTTGGGGTGTAAAATTATCTATCTCATAGTGTGTTTTATAGAGAACAGCCGGCTCATAGGAAGATACTCCTTTTGATGCCTGTTGCTTTGCAAATTTATGCTGAGGAAGAAGAATGTTGCTGTTGATTTGCTACATATTATATTTTTATATCAATAGTATATATGTACTATTTGCTATATGCTATATAGCACACATATATACTATTGATATAAATGGCACGATTGGTTTTGATGAAAATAAGAATGGGGGCCTGACAAATCTTCTGTCTCTCTGGGCTTGCCTTTCTACAGGTCCACATGGTGCTGAGTGCCAGTGTCCAACGGAGGGCCGCTGGTATCTGGCCAACGGCGAGAAGCACTGCATCGTGGACAACGGCACCCGCTGCGGGGCCTCTGAGTTTACCTGCCTCAGTGGGCGCTGCATCCCCGAGGTGTGGAAATGTGACAATGACCTGGACTGCGCCGACGGCAGTGACGAGCTAGAAAGTGTGTGTGGTGAGTTGTGAGCAGGCAAAGCAGCGGTGTGTAGAAGACTTGGCCGGGGCTTGGTGTGTGCCAAGCAGGACTTAGCACAGGTGTGAGGGCTTCAGTGATGGGTGATTGTGGCCTTTTCACTGATCTTCTGGAAGCAGGACCATTACTCCCGTAATTTCATGGAAATGACGTCCAGTCCTCTGTTGGACACAGTAGACGTTCACAAGAAGGGTGGAGATGCGATACCTTTTCGAACAGATCACTTGTAGAGACTGAGTTTTTATTTCCCACAAACTCTCTGCATTCTTTCCTCCAATTGAGATGAACAACAATTTTTCTCCTCCAAAAATATTTAGTTATATTCTTGATAAAAGAATATTTTTGGCATAAGCATATGCTGCAAGATGAGCTTTGATTCATGGACACATATTTCATTTTGTTTTTCATTAAAAAAATCATTTTATTGGGGGCTCATACAACTCTTATCACAATCCTCATTTCCCCCTCTCCCTCTCTGCTCTCCCCTCCCTCATGAGCCCTTGATAATTTATAAATTATTATTTTTTCATATCTTGCACTGCTTGGACACATCTTTCTACACAGATTGTTCATCAGTGACATTAATTACATACATTGGTGACGTTGTGAGAACTTCCTTTTGTTTCTTTTCCCACTAATTTTCTCTCACTGCCTCACAACCTCTAAGGTCTATATTTTCAGTGACGGTTGAACGTTGGGTCTCATATAGTTAATTTTTTTTCTTTGAAGAACACAGGCCTCGAGAGATAGACGTTTAAACTAAGGTCACAGAGAAGTGGAATGCCTTGGATGCTTATGTAAGGGGTTTTTCTTTTGGGGGGCTGACACAAGCATGCGGCCCTCTTTGCTGGACGATGACTAATGTAATGCCTTTCCCTTTTCATGCAGTACGTTTTGCGCTGCTTTGGCCTCGGAAGGTAAACTCCACTTGATTTGATCGTCTCTTTTAGGGGTTTGGACGGGGATTTAATCAAGGGCTTTCTTTCATGTTTGCCTCTCAGCATTTCACACCTGCTCACCGACGGCCTTCACCTGCGCCAACGGGCGATGCGTGCAGTACCGTTACCGCTGCGATCACTACAACGACTGTGGCGACCACAGCGATGAAGCCGGGTGTCTGTTCAGGCCCTGTAACTCCAGCACCGAGTTCACTTGCAATAACGGGCGGTGCATATCGCTTGAGTATGTCTGCAACGGGATGAACAACTGCTATGATAATGAGACCTCAGACGAGAGGAACTGCCGTGAGTTCCCTTTA